ACATAATTGCACAAGACATGTAAATTAACAGATAACATATTTATGAATTATTTTTAAACATTACTTTTTTAACATAACACTTGGCACTTGAAGCATTACCTACGTCACATCTTAAGCTTTATTTAATCTATATCAAATATGGGGAACTTTTTTCACATTGCATTTGCAGACCCATAGAACGAAGGGGGGGGGGGGCATTTTTCTGAGTATAGACTTTTCCTGTAGTATATTTTTTTTTCTAGATTTAATATGTAAATTTTCCTTAGATGCTGCCCCCTTACTTTCTGTTGCTGTAAGGTCGAGCGCTGGCGAATTCCAACACTTGAAAAAAAAATCTACAAACAGTTAGAGTCCACCCCTACCATATACAAACACACAAAATAGGATTTTTAATGTTTTTTTATTATTATTTTAATTTTGCTTGTCATATTTCTTTGGGAGGTCGACCCTTCCCCCACTGTTTAAACCATAGTTACCTCTTTGTTTGGAAGCAATATCTAAAGTTAGCACCGTTTTGTTTACATCAAATTCAGACACGTAGTATCGTTAGACACGTAGTATCGTTTTTGAAAGAAGAAGGGGGGGGGGAGAAAATTTTTTGACAACTTACTTTTAAAAATATTGTCCAAAACCCAACTTTCTTTTGGGGGTGTTAAAACTCAAAATAAAGGGTTTTTTTTCTTTCATAAAAATCGTATCTTACGCTTCTTGATAAATTTGTACCAAAATAATTAATTGAGATTTGAGTTTCATGATGCAAACTAACAAAGATTTTGAAATTATTCATTGTTATAATATTTAAAATTTATGCTCTGAAACAGTGATTAAAACTAAATTAAAAGGTATCTAAAGCAAAATTCATTTAACTCTTAATAAGATATATTGAAAAGAAAAATGACATATGATCGATAGATTTTTCCTGTTATAGAAAGAATGCTACTTACATGTTTACCGAAATTTTATTTAATCGATCTTTAAGACATCTCCTCTGAAATATGGCTTAAGTATGGAAAGATTGATATTAACTTTAATTTTTATGATTTTTTTTGGGGGGGGGGGTGGAGATAATGAAAAGATTGTTTTAATTGCAAATAAGATCCTTTAGTGTTTAAAGTTTACCGTAAATAAATGCACAATATAAATATCTAATAAAACATGTCAAGAAAAGTCAGATAAGCTTATTTTATTTTTGCTAATAAATTATTTATGGAAACAAAACACATTATTTTTAGCATTTTTTTAAAGCAATGGATAAAATCTTCAAGATTTTTACATTTCCTCTGAAAAAAATAATGTAAAATAATTGATATATTTTATCAATCTTTCCATGCTGAAACCATTTTTTCCAGAAGAGATGCCTTAAAGATCCCCAAATTAATGTTGCTGTAGAATTCCTCCTTCAATAAATACAGGTATAAATGATTTTAAACTCTACCTGTACCCCTCAGAGGGCCCCTTAATTGAGTGTGATAATTAGATGTTGGTTTAGTCCAGTAGACGTTCAGGGAACACACCATCGATCTTAAGCTAGGTAGATTTTGTGGGCGTTAATGGAAAATTGGGTGTTTAATAAAAACACATGTACTTGTCATATGCTGGAGTTACAAAACTTTTTCACATAGCATGTTCAGAGTTGGTGTGATCATAAAGATAGCCATTTTAAAAAGAAAATAATGTAAAAGTGTTTAGCAATGCATCTTATTGTTTTCAAAATATATCTCTTTTGAATTCTTTGTCTACAAACCTTGCGTGTCAAGTTAGAATTATCTGCAGAATTAACCACACGCAATGAATCTCCGAAATTAAACACATAATAGCACATAATTGAGAAATAAATCGTTTATTAAATACATGTATGCAGTTTAAAAACCCCTGAAATGGGGACCTTTATACGTCCTTAATAAAATGTTTTGGATTTAAATTAAATCAAATTAAGATAAGAATAAATGATTTAATTGAATGATCCGGTATGATTTAAAAAATAATTTTCCGTAAATCATGGTGTCAGCAAAATGAATATAGAACGATTGTTTTGTGTATGAGCACTAATAGCTGCTTCCTCGGCTGCATCAAAACCCGGGTATATGTGAAACGCAGTTAAATGCAGTTAAAGACTGATTTATTTTTTGCTTTTTTTTTTTAAATTTAATATAGTGTATGTTTCAACATTAAACGACGAAAAGATGTTTTGTTTACAAACGCAGGTCGCTGGTTCACACGCAATGGATCTCTTGTAATTTCGGCCACAATAATTTTATAAGTATATCACCAACATGACTCAACTTAGATAAGATGAACTAATTTGAAAGATCCGATATGATTAAAAAAAAAAACAATTATCCGTACATAGTTGAGTTTGCAAAATAGATTTAGAACGGCAATGCCTGTTTAGTGTATGGCCACTGATCACTGGATCTAGGTCACGCGTGATCGAGGGATGGCCGGTTACGTAATTATAAACAAAAAACAAACCCCGAGACGTATTGAAAACGTGCGACTCAATAATTTGGAATGAAACCACAGAACACGTAAAAACTTATTTTAAAGTAATATTAGTGTTTATTTTGGATAGGTTTATCATTTATAACAAGTTTATTTCAGTTATGTGCATAAAGATTTCACCTTCACTTGTTTAATGAAACTATTTACCTGTATATGGGTCAAGCTTCTAGCTCATTTATTAAAAAAGACTCGAACAAAATAACAAGTTCATGAGATCAGTAATATGTTAAAGAACAACTTTTTAGCGACAGCTATTTCGAAATATTTACCTTTTTGAGTTATAAAACGAAAACTTTCAAGGACCCTAGATCCCTAATTTAAGGGACCAGCCCCTTTTTGGTGGTGCCAAATGAAAGACCTTAAAATTGTGCACAACTTTTATTCAACATGTCTTGACAAAATATTTTTATTTTAAAAGATACATAGGAAAATATGTGTAAATTTTCGCGCTTTTAGGCGTTCTAATTTTTGATCCCTATCTAGCGCCATTTTGAACACAGAAATCAAAAAACAAAAATAGATGTGCACAACTTCAATTCTTCTATTATTTAAATTCGGTAGAATTTCTACTCCAGCTTTTGTAGTCTCGAAGCCTTTATCTGGAAATGAAGCCTCCTAAATTTTCATTTAAAGGGAGATAACCCAAAAGCGGAAGTGGGTTTTTGACATGTTTGACAGCATTCTGATAGAGTTTTGTAACGTCTATAAACGCTGCAAATTTGAGCAAAATCCGTTGAGAAATGAGCGAGATATGAGGCCTCAAAGTTGGCGTCTAGAAAGGAGAAGAAAAAAAAAGAATAATAATCTTAACCATCAGAATCAGTAGAAGGTCTTCCGTTGTGACGTAAGACCTTAATAAATGAATAAAATAATAAATGAGAATAATATACTCAATTAATTAAAATAAATATACTAAAAATAAAAAGTACAACTACCACAAATACCATTTCAAGTTTTCGTTGTCAGGTTTTTCTTTTTAAAATGCATATTTGGAATTTAATTTATGCTAGTCGTATTCAATTCAACCTACACAAATACTTTTTTGAATTTTATGCCTATTATTTCAAGCAGTCCCGAACCCGACCTTCTCTAAGTTTTCTCCCATATTTACAGTCTCGCCTTTGTAGGTCTTATCTGTTTCACATGCTCTATTTAAAATATGAAACAACCCAAATAAGAAGTTTATTAGAAAATCGGCATTTTTATTTTACACCAATCAAATTACACAAGCTATTTTCTACTCGGCACTTCTTCATAACAAACAAACGAAATGTCCACCGTACCCGATGTTTATTGAAAGAGAATTTTTGTTTCTATAATAAATTTTCTTGCAGTTTCTTCTCCTTTTTTTCAATTCAAATTATATGGAAACATCCTAGAAAGTAGAAAGGCCTCTAAATATTCAGTGACCAATTAACTTGCTATTTTTATATTCATTTAATTTCAATTTTTTTAATCGATTTTTATTTCAGAGCACAACATATAAAGACCCCCCTTCCCCCCAAATTTAGGATCCCTTCCTCAAAGCTGCAGATATAAATAGCCTCGCACCGCTCTTGTGTGAATATCAAAGATTAGGGTTAATTGCGCTTTGATTAAGTTCTGTCTAACTCTAAACCGGAGAAAATGCGCAGAAAATCTTGGGATGTTACAAAATTGAAAAAGACAGCCCCCCCCCCCCCCAACACACACATTTCAGTTTGCTTTGAATAATACAGCCTGCTCAAAGTTTGCATATACTTAAAAAAAATTATATAAAAATATTTAAAAGTATCTTTAAATCGCTTAAAATCCATTACGTTCTGTTTGATTAAACGGCGTTTGGAAAATTAATGCAGATTTCCTCCGATTTCCTCTAAAATAAGATATCCTGACCACAAAACGACCTATTTTCAATGTATCGGATTGAGTGAAATCCATAGAAATTGGAAAGCGTCTTGACGAAAGATTGAAATTTCACATGTGATCATTATTCATGCGAAAATAATTTTAAAATTCGGACAATTAACAAAATTAGACCCAATCCAAAGCAAGGTAGAAATCGTGAGATGCTCAGACGTATCTTTGCAAAAAAGTAAGGAGGGGGGCTAAGCCCCCCCCTCCCCCCCCCCCCCGGTTCTGACGCCTATGTAAACACAGGATCATATAGACTCTTATCTTATATCACATAGATTTCTTATACAGTATTTACTTGAATTGTAAATTCTTAGAAAAAAAAGGACCCCCCCTCCCAAATCATTATTATATATTTACACACACACACAAACACACACACACACCATTATAAATATATACTTTTTTCTCTAATTGCCTTTTTCACCAAGTTCTGTTGTCACTTAGTGCCGTTTTTCACCAACTGTTGTTTTGGATATTCCAGGTGCCGTTTTCACCAGGTGCCATTTTCACTAGGTACCGTTCGAACTATAATTCCACTCGGCACACCTCGGCCGATTCCTTCAACAGGCTTAAGCCATGTGGAGTAGGCTGAAGTAACTGAAAATATGGGGAAAAGGAAGCATGTGTCCAACTGGAAAGCCCGTCAACATACCAAAACACTTCTGGACAAGTCAGATGAAAAGAAAGTTAGTTTTAGACGAAATTTAAGTGCTTCTCATTTGAATTATTTCAACTGCAGATTTGGAATTCCAGTCCAAAAACTTGAGTATTTCTACCTATGTAGCTGTATTATCAGGTTCAGTGCAATCTCTTGATTTAGCTACATGTATATAGCTTGGAATAGCTATATAGCTTTATTAAGCTATTCAAAATAGCTTGAAAATAGCTTGATTTAGCTATTTATTTGCAAAAAAGTTTTTGTAAGAAATAGACAAAAAGTCGCAAGTATTTGATTATTGATGTCGCCAACCCCCCCTAATAGCTCCTCCGTCACTTTCGGGAAACTCCGCGCTGTTTGTAAACGAATGCGATTGTGACGTCATTTTTTTTACATGCTAAAAATCTATACAATCAAATGCCAATAAATATTTACAGTTTCCTGTGATCTATTGTATCTATCATTTTATGTGAAATCAGTAAGTATTTTTTCCTTTATGCGCTACCTATTCCATCGATACATCCAACAGGTATTACCACAGACGCCTGAAGTGTGGATCGATAGCCCCCCCCCCCCCATTTTTAAAAAAAAAATGCAAGAGCTTATAATTTCTCAAAAATGTAAATTTTCCCTATCAATCACATCCATATGTCGTTCTATGCAAGCAGATTGTACCTTTTCTTACGTTTAGAGAATGGCCTTATACGGTATAATAAAAAAACACAAGGTAAGAAACAATATTAGCGTTATTTTTTCTGTTGTTGATACTTTTCCGAAAATACAATTTAATACTATTTTAAATCATCAAAACTAACTTCCTATGTTAACAAGTTTAAGATGATTGGAGAAAAAACTAAACTGGATAGAAATCCTAATTAATATGTTGACATATTGTAGAGGGCCCTAGTGACGGAGTTAGGGTTCACTGGACGTAATGTACGTGGATGTGATGCGCGTTCTATTTATAGTAGTTTTGTAAAAGCCCATGCAATTACTGAATTTTTTTAAAAATAGTTTTGAAAACAATGTTTAAGTTCATTACTAAGTGTAGCAAATAAGAAACAAGTGAAAAAAAAATAATTCAGAGAGTAACCTGACGTGTTTTCCGCCTATGGTGACAGAGTTTGGGTAGTAGGGGATATAATGTACTATGGGCTATCAAAACAACAACAAAAATCGAAGATAGTTATAACATTGCATCTTTTGAATACTTTTATGTAAAAGATGAATATCCACATTGTTTGAGTAACTGTACACTATACTACCTTGTTTGCATTGAGGCATGGATAAGAATGATTGCTTCTCATTGTACTGAATTGTTACCAATTAATTATCTTGTTGCATGGCCATAATTGGCCTTCTTTATAATTTCATTGAAGAAGACTGTGTGGTCACAAACCAATTGCCCCAAAACTTTAAGAACTTGAGTACAAAGTCTCTGAAGGAGACACAATTTGATGTGTGATTTACATGCATTATTTTCAGAAGAGTTTAAGGTTGAAAACTTTCACTGCACCAAGGTGAGGAAATGTTCCTTTGTTGTTCTAATATTATAAAACACTTCATGTAACAGGAAGCAGTTTTTGCCGGGTTTTAACCAGTGAGATTTGTTGTGTTAAAATGACTGCATTTATAACGAAAGTAAAACAAGCAAGAAAGTCGTACGCAAAATATTGTGAAAATTAGCAACATCAATCAACCAGACTTGTAAGAGATTTTTTTAGGACGCGACACTCCAAACCACACTTATAGTAGATATGTTTTTTGCATAGATAAGATTAATTTGAATTATGCAAGTACGAGGGTTGTTCAAAAAGTTCGTGGATGATGTCAATTTTTGTTGTACTGCTTCCAAGAAATATAAAATAAGCACAATATCATGTGTAAAAATATTTGTTTTGTTGATCTGTGAAATTTCATTCCATTCGATTTGATAGAAATTAATTTACTTCATTTTAAAATCAACATGTTTTGTAACCACGGCGCACACTTAAAAGCAATGTAACGTCAAAAACATAGCGTCAAGAGTTTTTAAAAAAATTCTGTCCCTATACATTCACACAGTATAGTCCAATACCCACGTATTTAAAACCTTTTTCAATCACTTGACATTTATTTTTCTAACAATTGTTCTCGTTTTATAATTTTTTTTGTTAATGTTTAATTTCTTTTACTGCTTAACTGTGCTTTCACAAGATCAGCAACTCTGAAGCGCCTGTGTCTTTCCATGACGTCCCATTAAACCGTTTCTTCACAGATTGTCCTCGTCCCATACAGAGTCTCTGTCACTCAAATACCGCCTCTACCATTTACACATACATGCACTACTCGCTTGTGGCATATTTTCCGATTCCTCCAACATTTTTTAGCGTTTATTCAGGATTTTCCCCGAGTATAACACAAAACTGCACCGTTATCTGCTGCTCCGTGACGTTCTACAACGTCATCGTTTTTGTCGTTTTCAGTGAGGACTACCTATCTTCTCAAATTGATTTCTTTTTACCGAAGCAAAATATTTAGCCAAAATTTGGAATAAGAATCGATGTAACAGTTCTTAATTTAACAGTCTAGGATTTTTTCGTTTTTGCTCCATTTTACAGAGAAGATGACTACAGACATTATTTAGTGTATTGTTTGTAAATTACTAAATTTTGACCTGCGCTGCGATCCGATTTTTGCAGTTTTTAATTCTGGATAAGTTTTAAATAAATCATGATATTTTTGAAAAATTTAATACAAATCATTTAAATTTATTGTTAAAATATTTCTACCAAATTTGGATGACATATGACGTTAAATAAAAAAGATATGACAAAAGTCTACGAACTTTCCGAACAACCCTCGTAGTTGTAGAGTGTTTCAGCAATTAAGTAGCCTCATCAGGGGTCACAGACACATAATAAGATGTTTATTTTAAGTGAGACCTGATTATCTCGTCGCCTATGTTCTTGTGTTTGCTGTAAGCGATGATTGGTTGAGAATTAAATAAAGTTTTGCATTCTGGATTTCTAAGAATTATATTCCAATATTTCAGGATTCATTTTATTCAGTCCTTTAGTGCAAGGGTTAAATTTAGTAACCAATACTGTAGGGTTATGTAATGGTTGTTCTTTAGTGTTTTTGAGGATTAGTTTTGATCGGTTTGTGTTGATCGTTTCTTTGATAGTAGGATCAATTTCTGAGGTAGAGTAACCTCACTTTGATAAGTTGAAGTTATAGTGTTGCATTTAATATTGTAGGGTCAGTAGTATTTCTTGCATGTCTAATGCATTCTCCTTTAATGAATCCTTTAAAAACAGCTGGGCTATGAGCGCTCTGTCTGTGTAGATACTGAAAGTTATTTGTTGGTTTGATGAATGACTTGATATCAAGTTTGTTAAAGTTTTGAAATTTGTGTCCTTTGTAAACTGTGGTATCAAGAAAGTTCACAGTAGATGGCGAAATTTCAAATGTAAATTTTAGATGCTTGTGAAAGTGGTTGCCAGTATTAAAGAATTCCTCTATCTCTGGTCGGGTTCCATTGAATATAATGAAACCATCATCACGGTATCTGCCATGGAAGATAATTTTGCTGGCATGATGGAATGTGCAATAATATGTTGTGTGATTTGATACATTCTGATTCAAAAGATTTCTGGACTTGGGATTGCACCCATACTCGCTCCTATTATTTGTTTGTAATATTTTCCATCAAATTCGAAGTAATTGTTTTCCAAGACGCATTTCAGTAAGAATGTTAGATCCTTAGGGTTAGGATATGGAATGTCTAATTCAGTTTTATTGGCCTGCGTGTAAGCCTCGTTCACTGAAGAGAGAAGTTTGTTGAATTCCATGTTTGTGTACATGCTCGTCACATCATAAGTAATTAATAATGCCTTTGTTGGTAGTGTAAGGCCTTCAATTTTGTTGATAAAGTCCGTAGTGTCTTTAATATAAGTTGATTGTTTCTGTACAATAGAGACAAGAAAGTAATCACAATATTGTCCTATTTTCCTTGTTGGCGTATCCCATTACGAGATAATTGGTCTACCAGGTGGTAATTTCCTAATGCTGCACTGACCATTAATCAGAGCATGGTAAAAATTTTCAGGTATTTTGTGGGTTTTTGGTAAAAGGTATAAATGCCCACATTTAAGTGAAGGTTTTTTGTCATTATGAAACTTGTGTCTTTGTCCAATGACCCAAATGAGTGCATTTCGGAAAGTTTATTTTGAATGTTTTCATGCAGTTTGAGCATGTTGCAATTGGGTTCAGATACTTGCATATACTGTTTAGATTGCAGTTGGCGTTTTGCTTCTAAGACATACTGATCCTTGTTCATGATGACAATTGTGTTGCTTTTATCTGCTTTTTTAATAACAATGTCATTGTTATTTTTAAGAGATAAATAGCTGCTCTTTCAGAATTTGAGATGTTTGATCTCTTTTTTACAATTTCCATTGAGGAAAGTTCCAGTTTTGTTTTATCTATATATTCCTCGAGTTTGCTGCATGTAAATGGCGGTTTGATGCCTGATTTTGTTTTAAAGGGGTGGATTGCAATGTTGTTTCTGGTATCAAGGTGGAATTTGCATTTGAGTTTTCTGGCAAATTCTTCAAAATCTTTGAGAAGCAGATTTTTAGCATTGTCGCTTTTAGGCGTTGGAATGAATTTTAAGCTTTTGCTAAATAAGGATAGTTCATGTTTGGATAGGTTGTACCTTGATAGATTTAGAACAAACTTTCCCCCTGTGGCCATAGTTTTTTTGCAGTGAGCTTCAACTCCCTGCAGATAATTACAAGAGCGTTTAGCATTTTTGCATCATTTACTCCGTCTATTTATTCGTCGAACCATTCAGATAGAGTAGCAACAGGTGGTAAATATTGTGTATAGCGAGGCGCTGTAGATCACCAATGAGTATTTTTGATGAAGTAACAAATCCGTCTAATTATCAATGTGTGTTGATAGATTAGAGGATAGAGAGAGTGTGTGGCTATAGGAAACTGATAGCCAGATTTTGGTGATTGGTTATGGTCACGTAGGAGGGGC